TTAAAAATGAGAAATATACACTCCAAAAGACTGAAGGGCAATAATACAATAATACTATAGAAGCTTTAATGGGTATGTTGTTAAAAAAGATATGAACTGGACAGCTGGAAGGTGAGAACGAAGATCAAGACATGAATCAAGTGTTTCATGGACAGTTCTGTAAACTTCCCCTGCTACCTGAGTAGTAAGCTAAAGCGCTTGATCAAGTATGATATTCTTAATTCTCAATTATCATCCGAATTGGACATATGAATCTAAGACAGTCTTATCCAATTTCCTTGCAGAAATGAGCACCTGTTTTATTGTTTTATTTCTGCTCTCCTTACCAAGAGGTATAAAGTTTTCGATTTGTTGATGTTGATATTGTGGTTGATATCTTGACTGAGAAAGGGTCAATGTCTATTTTTCCACACATGTATGCATTTGTGTGTGTTTATGCATGTCAGAACCTCTCTGAAGTTGTAGACCAGTGGCCACAGGCCTGTGTATTAGCTTCACATAATAACAATGAAATGCCCCAAGCAGCAGAGAGCCCAAGCAGCATAACATAAGCTCTGCAGCCACCTGGTGGCTCTGTCACTCATGGTGTGGATGGTAACAGTTGTCCTGTATGTAGATGGAAGCAAGCAATTATATCTCAGACTGGGGAGGGGCCACCCCGGGGTACCAGGGTCCTCACCTAAGGAGGACATATTCACTGAAGAAGGTCACACTGTTCCTCATCTCTTATGGGCACTGTCACTCTGGGGACTGAGCCTTTATATACAAACCTTTGGGGAACACTCAATAGCCAAACCATAGCAGGCCTAGATTCAGTCCAGGGATACATTTTGTTTTCCAAGTGTAGGTTTATTTGACTCATTTAAATTCTCAGGTAATACATAGAAATGTGTTGATTTCACATGAAATGGAAATCTAGATTTCCAGAAAATCTGACAACGTGGAGTATGTCTTTCTTGTGCTAATAATATCTTATGTCTGAACAGTGGTTTCGTTTTCTAGATGAATCATGTAACTCCCAAGAGTCTTTCTGCCCTGCCGTCTTCTATAGACTATAGGCAAATCTAGCTCTCTCCCCGCCCCCTTCGTTTTTTCCCTTTCCCTCATTACAAAACTACAGTAAACTACAAAACAAATAACTCTAGCTCCTAAGCATTAGATTTTGGAATTCCTGATCTCATTTTCCGTCCTTTGAGAAATACCTTGGCAAATGCAAATATATAAATGTATTAGGTTGAACTGAATGGAATTTGAACCACAAAAAAAAATTTCATATTTCATTAGGCTCAAATCTAATATAAAATGTTTTTATTCTCTTTGTGTAGATGAATCATATGTTTAAAATCAGATAGTCTCTACTGTGAAAACTAGAAAGGATATTTGTCCTGATAGAGGTGCATGCTGCTAGCCTATCTACATGGATTTTCACCATTTTTCCATCTCTTTCCCCAAAATATTTCTACTTCCTATCATCTTTCTATTTTAAGTCCTACCTTTCTCCACAAGCAGTTTAAAGTTCATATCAGCTGAGAATTTTTATTTCATGACCTAATTGCTCACTAATTTTCTAGGACCCTAAACTCTTATAGTATTTTTAAGCTCTACCCGATTCTTTGTTGCTTAATTTTATGTACTCTTATTTTTTTCAGTACCGAGAATTAAGTTAGTAACCTGATTATAGAGGTCTATCTTTTTACAAATCGTCTTGCATCTCAATGAACATTTTACATTTGCTGATTTATTACTTTCTTAATAGGAAAGTAGCTAGATAATATAAATATTTAAAAAGGGAATATTCTTTGTGGAGGGTAATCAATTCACTGCATGAAAGTTCTTTAAGTATTTTAGATGAAATCTTATTCTAATCTGCTTGCTATATTTGTGGTTTTGGGGTCATTATTGTTTAGAATGGCAATATTTTTAACACTAGTATTTAGGTCATATATATGTTTCTTGAAGAAAAATCCATCTACTCGATTTTCAGAGATCACTAATTAGAGCTAAATGCACTCATTTTCAAAGCTTTGTTATTCTAATAAATGAGTTGAAGCCTTTGACAAGACTCTAGAGAACAGTTTATTCTTTCATCAAGAAATACCTAGTATCTAGATGTCACGTTCTTATCTTAGCAACTATTAGTGCATCATGCTTGGATCCATTCATTCACTGGGGCTTCAAAATAGCAGTATTGTGTCATTTGACTTTATTTGTGTGATAATGTTCTAAAGAGGGGCTTCCCATCCTATGATATTTGTTTATATCTTGATGAAGTTTATTTAGGAAAGTCATAAAAAATATTTGCTTTTAAATTAGTGGGGTTCTTTTGGGGGGTACCTGGTATTGAACTCTGGTCCCTGCATTTGCAAGGCAGGTGGTGGAATAACTGAACTAAATCCAAGGTCCTTTAATTAGTTTTTAAGATAGCAAGTTGATTCTCTATCAACTTTAGAAATGACCTACTGTTATTATTCTTGAAAACACCTTTATGAATTCATGTATTCATGCATATCCAATGGGTTTAATACATTGCAATGCTTAGCTTTATGCACAGATAGTCTTGATCCTTGGTAATAGGATCCATTGATATGATTCATTGGATTGATTGCTCTGATCCTTCTGTATGTCAAAATGTTTCAGGCTCTCTTGGCATGTTTCCTACCTTAAACTTTGAGTTCACCAGTTCTTCAAGAAGCCCTTGTTTCTTATATATTGAGAAATAATTGTTTTCAAAACCATAGTCTGCATAATAGGGATAGTTGTTTCTATTGAGTCAGTGTTTCTAGACTTTTGCAGTGAATAGAGCCAGAACACAGAAAAAGTACCTTTTCAGTTTAAATTTTAAGAGGATCAGACTTTATTTAACCTCTTCTATGTTACATCTGTATGTCCTTTCAGCCACACAAAAATCTGGTTCTCAAGGACAGAAAGGATGATAGAATCAGAATTTCTCATGTTTGCCTCTTTGTTGTATACCATAGTGCATTAGTCTTACAACTACAATAATAAAGGATCACCATATCAGTAATAATTATTAAAACATTTGTTTTATTAGACTATCCCTATTCTTTCTTAATCTTTTATTACTATTGCATCAGAACATGCAGCCATTATAAATTAAAATCCCTTTTTACCCCTCCCTTACACTCATCCTTAGCTGTTTTAAGTTATTTTTCATCAGCTACCTATTAGGTCAATGTCTCCTCTTGTCATTTTGGATATCTGAAGCTCATCTTCCAGTTGTTCTAGAGGACAGTACTTCCTAATTGCTTGCAAGTGAATAACAGCTTGACTGAACCCTCTGTCTTTACAGTTAAATGTGTTGACTATAAAATTTTTAAGTTACATTTTATTATCTGAGCAGTGACTGCAAACAGAGCTTTCAATGATACAAACAGCCCATTGCCACATTGTGTGCCATAGGTTCACCACCAATGATCTAGAGTATCTACAAATAATCATGCTGATTCCTTCTGAAATAAAATATTGTGGTCCAAAAGCCTGACGATGATCTAATTCTTCTTATATGTCATATATTATTTTTCTCCACTTGCGAAAAACATTGTCAGTGAAATGAATTTTTAAAATGTATTTATTCTGTTCCCTTTCTTTTTGTTTTTCTTCCCCAGTGATTCCCATTATGTATGTGTTGGATCTTCTTTCTCTAACTGTATATTTGGCACTCTCTCCCAAATACACTTCTAACCCTTTCTTAATTTCTTTTTGCCTTGTATTTTCGTTTTCTACTTGTTGTTCTACTTTGTTCATTGTTACTTTTTATTTTTAAAATATAATTTTTTAGATATAACTTTATCTTAAGTTATTCCATCTCATTTTGAGTTTTTCTAATTCTGGTTTATGTTGTTCTTTTATATTTAGTATCATTTCCTTACATTATTTATTTCATTTTGAAATTTCAAATTGTAGTTTTGATTTATTTTTCTTATGTATTTTGGTTCTACTTTCATTTTTGTGTGTGTGTACTTTTCTATCAGAATCATGCGTACACACAACCAATGAACAGCCTTACTACTTCCCTATGTTATTTTTTTCTTGTGATAATTTCTTACAGAATTTTTACCTGAATACTTTTTGTTGTTCCCATTTATGTGAATTGTTTCTCTGCACTTCAAGAAATTCAGATAGATTTTTCAATAAACTTGGTTTCAGCAAACTACAGGGGACAGATGAAACCAGGCCCAGGTCCTGTTTTTCTGTTTTCCCCACTGAACCAAGAATAGTTTTTCCATTTTTGAAGATTAGTACACAAACAAACAAACAAGAATAAACAGCGATACAGGCACTATGATTTTCAGAATTAAAACATTTACATATCTGGGTCATATATAGATAAATTTGCCCACTCCTGACATACATTAAAATCCATGAAACCTTGGATCAGAATTTCCATGGCCTCTCTTCTACTTTTATCTGGACTGTCTCACCTTTTTATTTGGGTTACTTTGGTTCTGCTGAGATCTTTCTATCTATTTCTAGTCGTCTGTCCACAATTTGGGCACTGACCTGAAGAAGAGACATTGTAGCTAAGTTTTCAGCATTTATAATTGCTGTTCTCAAACTGGTCTGCTATGCTTTCCAGCACTGCCTGACTGCTATTTTGGAACTATCCTGTATTTGAGTTTGATGCTTGCCTTTGGCTTTCCCTACACAGATGTGGATAACACCCAAATGATAAAGCTATTCATTGGTTGTGCACATCCACTTATATTTTGGGGTTGGCATTTCATCTAGTTTTGTGGTGAATATCTAAATGCTTTTGATTTTCTGTTCTTGTCATTCAGTTGCTTTTTATATGGGGATTTGGGAAGATCAAAAATTTTATTGCCATTGCTGCCACATTCTTCCCAGAATTCAGTGCACTTATTTTCAAACAGCAATTTACTTAATAGATTATATTAAATTTGTTTTCAGGAAAATGTTTACCCTGAGTATTTCAGTACACTGAATAAAACCATGTTCAAATTGTTTCTGTTTTTCTCCAGAGTCAAGTTCCCATTATGTAATCTCCCTAAAAGCTTTTAACAATGCAGGAGAAGGCGTTCCTCTGTATGAAAGTGCCACCACCAGATCTATAACAGGTGAGTGAAAATCGTTAAGCCTCTTGTGACAAGGTAGTCAGTGTTTGAGTTATGGTGAAAAAAGAGAAACTGAAGCAAAAAAATATATAAATAAAGAAAGAACTTGAAAAATATGTGTAGTTATCTTCCAAACCTTTTTATGTATGTGGGTATACATATGCACACAATGCTTTCTCATTCTTTGGCTTTCAAAATTAAATGAGATGACAGTGTACAAATTAGTACATGGGTGTAAAGAACTTGGAGCTCAGTAGCTTCATAGATTTGGTGTCCTGGTGTGAGTCTTCATTCTTCTAGCACCTAGTTTCATCTCATATCAATGCCACTTAGGCAGAAAGTCCCCAATTATAGGTTGCCAAATGCCTGAACCCTTTCTCCTTTGCACATGGTCCTTCAAGCTAAGATGACAAGGATGAGCTCTCTTCTGGGAGCTGGTTTGGATTACAGTGAGTCACAGGTTGCTTCTTCCTGAGCCAAGCCTGTAGGTCACCTTTGCAGTGCCAGAGGTGTCTGGAATGAAAGGGATTGGCTGCTTCAAAGTCAGTTTTACAATCCTTATGCAAGCTGAACTCTAAAGGCTGCACATGAGAATAAAGGAGTTCAAGAAACTGAAAAAGAGATGGGTGAAAAGGTGAGATCTAAGCCATTTATGGAGGGAGGCTATTTGTTAGGAAGGCAGGGCTTACTCCAAAATAGAATGAGTATACCTCTGTGAAGCTGAATGATCACTTACCATCTAATAACCAACAGACTTTGTATGAAATCTGGAAATATAATTCATGAAATTCATTTCACTTACTTAATACTTTAAACCCACATCCCTCCCCAAATCTATACTCCTTGGGCCTCGTTTAACTTATTTTTATCTTAATGAAATTAAAGCATCTGAGAAAGTAAGCACCAGATTCAGTAGCAAGCACCAGAGGGTATGAAAATTACTGGAGTGTAAGTCCAAAGGATTAAGATGTGATATGTATGCATACCAAGTCCCCATGGTGAATGTATTCATGATGTGTCACAAATATGTACTAATAAAAAATAAAGTCCAGATGAGGAGGCATAAATGGTTAGAAAATAAATGGTGAGATGCTGTAGTTTCTGCCACTGCCTACATTAATGTAAACTTCATGTATTTTGTTTTCCAAAACCCACAAGCTCCATTTATAGACTGCTTTAAAATTGTGATTATTTTATTAACTAACAATTGTTATGTGCTGCCACATACCATCAATATATTGATTTCAGCCCAATTTTCTTGTAAGACAAGGTAGTTATTTGTATCTCTTTGAATTTTGGCCATTGGTTTCACTGAATGAGATCTGCCCAAATTGTGATGCAAAACTGGGGTACATGCCAATATATTTATTTATTTTGGAGATGATAGTATCTTCCATTATGCCCTCAGAAGGCCTTCTCATATCTCAGGAAGACTAATTAGAAGGATTGCCTTAGAGAATATTTACTATCAAACATGTTGTCTTCAGGATGAGGAGGATGTGGACATTTGCAGCCTCATATGGAAACTGAGAGATAACATGATGGGCAGCAAGTTTCTGGAGTTTTCACTTCCCTTAGCTCCCTTGCTCTGCAGGAAGCAAGGATCTTCAAAAGACAGCAAGTCAATTTGACTATTCCAATGTTCACCATACTTTTTGTTTAGTAAGGCATTTTTTTCCTGCCTATGGTGAAGATGCTGAGGAGCTGCTCATTGGTGTGACTTTCAGCTGTGATCAGGCCACACAAATTTTTACTGAGGCCTGACTCTCAAAACTCTTTTATTTTTAACCAAAATTAAAGCCCACAAGGAAAGCCAACAGTGGTAACCTGTTAAAATCAGTTTTCCAATAGAGATTAGTAGGAATAACATTATAAAATTCAAATTAATTGATGGGTAAGTTGTCTGGAAATTACCATTGGAAGTATTACCAAGTTCTTTCCCTGTGCATTTCATGCCATTCTCTAATTCTCAACATATGGCATTCCCAGAGTGATTTCTAAAACACCAGTAACCTATAAGACAATTTTTTTCATAAGATGACTCTAAACATAATTGATCTGAGAAATGCATCATACTAAAATTGTAAATTGGGTAAGCAGTTTTCTTATTCAGAAAAAAGCCTTCAATGAGTTGGAAAGGAATATTTGAAGCAAGCCGTCTCCAAAGTAAAAGAACAGACGTTTCCTGAAATGGAAGAATTATTTTATTATGTTTCCACACATCATGGAGAACAAAGGACAAATAAATGAAATCAAAGGTTAAGGTTTTGGGATAAACTCTATCAATAAATATGCCAGAATGCCATGTAAAAGACATTCTCTGTCTTTGAGCTTCTGCAAAGTATTCCCATGAGCAGTCTTGGAAGAAGGCCAGCATAAAGTAAATACAAAATGTATCAGAAGCAATAAAAGTATCACGCTAAAGAAAGCATCGTACTCTTGAGCTTTCTACACACATGTGCTCATATAGAATTGGTGGGCTCTGGAGCCTCATCTCAGACTGGGAATCTCAGACTCGTTATTTGATCTGCTGAGGGTTCTGCCTACCAGAAGGGCAGTCTGGGTTTCATTCTTACTTTAAGCCTCTTATTCCCTGTTTTTCCAAGAACAAGACAGTTAAACATTGAGAAAGGAAAAAGGCACATAAAAATTGGAGAAACAGTGAAGTGTGTAGTTGGTCTTTCTCTATCCTTACCTGTTTTATCAATGTTCAAATGAAGTATGATCCAGGTGTAAAACTATGTTATGATCTTTAAAGTTCATTTCAAAGATAAATATGATCCCAAGAAATTAGTGGTCTTTTACTAAAATATCTATTAGGAATTGAGTAAGGTTTTTTCCTTAACAAAAGGTTTGCGACTATATATTTATGTGTTTACTCTTTTGGATGTAGCCACTGAAAAAGAGCAACACACAAAGCAGCAAATAGGAAAAAGAACAAAACCTGAGTGGTTTAGTGGCAAAAGAATGTTTTAAATTAATTATTCAAGTTTCTGATCAGAGACTACAAGACTGCAGTATGTGTCATGTGTGTTCATAATAATGCTTGCTATGCACCAGGATGTTCTGCTTTGTTAGAAATGCTGTAGATCTGCTTTATTCAGTATGGGAGGCATAGGACTTTTGTAGCTATGGGATACATGAAATTGACTAGTGCAAGATAAGAAGGAATTTAATTTTTTAATTTTTAATTAAATAGTACATGTAACTAGTGGTTATTGTGTTAGCACAGTTCTAGAGGAAATGGTGAGTAGAAAGGAAAGCCACAACTGAAAAAATTGCTCCCTGCACAGCAGAGAAACACTTGGCCAAAATAGAAGTTTCTGGAGTTTCTAAGTACTGATAAATACTAACTGATAATATTGCTGGAAATTTAAGCAAAGCATTCTGAAATTGACTCTAAGAAACCCAACGACAATAGTCAAGAATATTATACTATCCTAAAAAAAAAGAATTGACTATTACAATTTCTTGGAGAATCCCTACATTTCAAAGTCTAACATAGGAAATATAAAGTTAATATATGTTTAACAACAAAACTATATTAAAGAAACAATAAAAAGGGTAGTCTCATAGGTAAGTAAAAAATGAATTTATAAATTAAAATACTCCCCCCACATGTGTGTATAAAATGCTTATAAAGCCAGCTAAGAATAGAAAAAAAGAGAGGCAGTACCTGCTCTAGTTTGGCAAAAATACCTTTTACTGCCACACAAACTTGATGAATGATTTGGATCCTTGTGGAGGCTGCAGTGTTTTCTGTTTCTTCATCATTTCATAAATTCATTTGGGTTTAAAGGAGTCCTTAATAAAAAGAGACATCAAAAGAAATACAGAAAGCCTGGGCTGTCATTAAATTTTAAATATCTCTTTCATTCGTATTCTCTCTCTCTCTCTCTCTCTCTCTCTCTCTCTCTCTCTCTCTCTCTCTTTCTCT